TTTCTCCTTACCCTTCATCCTAGATACGGACGCCAGTGACCTGGGTTTCAGGGCTGTCCTATCTCAGATGAAGGACGAGGTTTGAAGTCGTTATTGCCTATGGCAGTCGTGTCTTGTCGCCGCCGGCAGAACAGTACTATTGTGTTACCCGGCGGCAGCTGCTGGCAATGGTCTACCTCGTGCGGCAGTACAGGCCCTACCTCAATGGCAGGGAATTTGTAGTTCGTAATGACCACGCAGCCCTGCAGTACTCCCTGCCTGCGCATAGACCAACCTTCTGTCCAGCTGTCATTCTGGATGGAAATACTGCAGGAAAACTCCTTCCAAGTCGTATATAAGAAGGGTAACTAAACGCAGCGACATGGAAGCATGTCGCTGCGTTGACTCGCGAGGGACCGAGCTCGTGCGCGTCAGGCGCTGGCCAATGCGGACCGGCTGCGCCGATGCCGGCAGTGATCGTGGGCTTCACTTCAAAGTGAAGAACCCACCACGGCAGAAGTGTGCAGGGATGGCACGCTGGGGGTTCACGTCTGCAGAATGGGGGGGGGGGGGGGGGCGGTTGCAAATTGAGGATACCAGCCTGTTAACTCTGCCTCCTCCGGGAGTCTCGCGATGTGTTAACTATGAGGGACGTTTAATGCAGTGGGACGGGATCACTCAGCGACGGTTGCCTGCTCATTACCGCATCCATGTTGGGTAGGCTGACGTGTGAGGTACATGAGACGAAGCTACTGCACCTACCACGTCATAAGATACTGTTGACTTTGCAATGCGATTTCTACTTGCCGGGAATTGTCGGCCGATGTATATCACCTAATCGTGGGTTGCACGGAGTGTGCACGCCAGAAACCTCTGTTGAAAAAGTCCATCACAGCGTCTCGGGTAAATGGATTGGTAACGCTGGCTATTATGGCCCCCTTTTACTGTTCACAGAGAGGGCAAGGCCAACCAATAAACGTGCGGATGTACCCATGTCGCTGCAGGTCACGCTCGAGCTTGAGCGGGTAATGTAGGCACGTGTGGCAGCCAAGGAAAATGCCGCCAAGGCGCACAGGTTGCTCACGGGATGAATGTACGGCGGCGGCGCACCCACGTGCTTCCTTGGGCCAATTGGCGATAAGGCGTGGCCGCATTGCCCGCAGGTACCACTGTGCGCATCGCCCAAACTGCACCGCCCATGGCGAGGTCCGGTCGAGGTTTTTGAAGTGAATCGACCACAGTTGCGTGCGCGTGCAGGCGGGACGTCGTCGACGGTTTGTTCACGCGTCACGCCTCACAAACATTTGTCCACTCGTACCATAACACTTTATCTCCACGTCCTGCGTGGCTGGGGTCTGGGGTGTCCGACGAGCCAGGGAAGCCACCAGAATTAACTGTGCGACCCGATAAATTAATTGTCCCACCCAAAGATTGCCTCCCTCTGAGTCGCAAAAGCCCAAAAAGACCCCGCAATGTGTGATGAACCGGCGTCAAGGACCCAGCCAAGAAGTATGCGGACGCATTGACATGCATACCAAAGCGCGAAGATGGACATTCTTTTCCATATTCCAACATTGTTGTGTTCCTTGTGTGCGGATGTCCATTCCTTGGGAGATTGATTACTTCACTCGCACATGACGCAAATGTTAGTTAATGTTTATTGCTGGTTTCGTATGGCGATATATCTTGGACGCAGGTTTACTGTAGTCATTCTTCGAGAGTTGTTGAAATTTTGTCATTTTATCATAGTTTTAGATGGGACGGCTACATTTTTTTAAGAGGCCGGGGGGGGGGGGGGGGTGATTTAATGACAGTCGAGTGAACCTGCAGTGCTAGTGGGCGCGTGGCCACGAGAATCATCGGGAATAGGGGCGTGGCCACGGACAGGGGCGTGGCCACACATCGTATTTAAGGCAGATGCATGGGAGATTCGGGGCTGCTGCAGTGGGATCTTTGCTGGTCCGAGGGTGACCACGTTGCTCCTTAAATAAAGAATCCTTTCCGGACAAGTGCGTCGAAGTCGTCTCTACACATACATCCACTGACTCAATCACCTATCCACGGACTCTCTAACTCACCCACTCATCCTCCCAATCACTCTTCCACTCACCCAACTACTAACACAGTCAAACACTCACTCACTCAATAACCTACTCACCCACCCAACCAGTAACACAGTCAACCACTCACTCACTCAATAACCTACTCACCCACCCAACCAGTAACACAGTCAACCACTCACTCACTCAATAACCTACTCATCCACCCAACCAGTAACACAGTCAACCACTCAATCTCCCGCTCACCCCTTACCCTCTCTCGTGCAATGGACGAAGACTCCCTCTCCCACATTCCACGTATGGGAAGGATCTTAGCCCTTGTCAGCAGAAAATGTCACTTCCCTAGGGGCACCCCCAGTGGCAGCTGACCCTGTGTGTGCTAGTCTTGGATGTATGTGTTGAACTTCTTTCGCACCAAACTTAGCCAACCATGCTTATTGGAGGCACGGGGGAAGGACAACACTCTTCTATCGGAAGAGGAAGTGTGACGATTGCCACTGTGTGGCCTTAGCCAAGGGGCACCCCTAGTGGCAGCAGCCTCTGTGCATAAGCCTGCTGTCGGTAGGGGAGCGATGATTGCTGCTTCGTTCCGAGCCTAGGCTCACCCCTATTGGCAGCCACTCCCGTGTGTGTTAGTCTTGCATGTATATGTGTGTCTGTTGAACTTCGTTTGCACCGCGTGTAGCCTATCCGTACTAATCGGAGGTGCGGGAGAAGGACAACCAGTCTTCGATCGCCGCTGTTTGTTTTTCCCCACGGCTGTGGATGTCGACGATTTTGAGACAACAGGAGTTATTGTTCCTTTAATTCGGCGCATAATCCACAACAGAACCGTACAACAAACATCAAAACCCAGGGTGTCACAGCCATAGGTCTCTCCCTCCCTCGCCCCAGAGAGTTATCAGGCTTTACCGCTACCCTGCTGCTCAGCGTGACTTGTGACCGTTTCGTTCCGCGTAGGCTGGAAGCTTCTTCGGCATACTGGGGAGGAATGTACGAAGGGATTGACTGCTTCCTCTGGTATCTGAGGCTCCGCATTGCCTCAGCAGGGTCAACCCCACCTTGCCAGCCACTGACGACTCACTCACAAGGGCAGTGGCTAGCTCCGCTGGTATCTGGGGCTCCGCATTGCCCCAACAGGGTCAACCCCCTACCGATGTTTGAGTCTCCCTGGGCGCCCATTGGAGAGAGGGAATGGGAACACAGCGGTCCTTAAGAAATGAGTTTTCAATCTAGCATGGTGGTGTAGTGTATAGCAGTGCGTATGGATGTTTCACTTCTTTCGCACCGTACGTATCCAACCGTGATAATTGGATGTGCGCGACGAATGACCCAGGCATGCAGCAGGGCACTGGTTACAGGTGAGCATAAGTTAAGACAGCGGTATTGCACCCTCCCAGCCTTGACAGACTGTTGGGGAAAGTGCTGTTAGTGAGCACCCATGGAGGCCGGAATGGCACGCGAGGTTTGGGTGGTCTGCCTAGTGGCGATGATTATGCACCGCGCCAACTACACATGCGCATATTCTACGTGACGTGATCGCTCCAGACTCTAGCTCTCTCTCTACCCCCTATCTGCTATATATTCCCCTGTTCTACCAACTCTACCCTCTACCATCTCTTTCCCAACTTTCTCTCTCTCTCTCTCACTCACTCTTATGTCCCTCTTCTCTTCCATCTCTCTCTCTTATTTAATCTCCATTCTTTTTCTCAACTCTTCCTCCTCGATCACTTTCCCATCTCCATCTCTTCTCAGCTCATCTCTCTCTTCTTTCATCTCCCCCCTCTTCCCCAAGTCCCCCCTACCCCCACTTGCGCTCTCTCTCTCTCCCATCTCCTCTCTCCCCCTCTCTCACGCAGATTCCATGGTCGCCGCCTTCTCCGCTGCGACTTCAGGGTCTGGGCACAGGTATGTAGCCTGGGCCTCAGCAGCAGCTTGGATGTTCGTATAGCGTGGATCGTCCACCTGGAGAAAGAGGGAATGATTTTCTACACAACTGTTGCTTTTTTTGTTTGTTTTGTACTTCACTAAGGTAGTAAGGCCCACTGAGCTATGTAGCTCCTTTTTTCAGAAGTGACCTGGCCATCACAAATGAGAGCTCAACGCAGTGGCTTTTCATCGTGTGGAAATGTATAGCAGCCAAATACTCTTGAACGTTTGATGTTGATTCCAAATGTGGAGGGGAGAAACAGAGGACCCGGAGAAAAATCCACGTGACCAGCACTGAGAGAAACGCCCAATATACAGCAGCAGGCTTCAGAGTCGGTATAGGACTCACGGCCTCCCGCATACCAGGCGAGGGAGTTAACATCTCCTAGCCACCGTGGTGAGGGGAATGGCAGCACGTGGAGATGATGATGCGATGAGACGGGGCGCTCGCAGAGAGATGGCCAAACGTCGATACCAGAGTTGAGGCCTCGGTGAAACTGCCGAGTTCAGAGCCTTACCTGGACTGGAGCCTCGGTCTGGGACTCAGCCTACATCTGGGCCTAAGTATGGACATTGGCTTGCACCTGGGCCTGAGCCTGGACCTGGGCGTTAGCATGGACCAGGGCCTCAGCCTGGACTGGGGCCTCGATCTGGGCCTTGCCTCCACGTGGACCTGAACCTGGGCCTTGGCCTGCACCTGAGCCTGGGCCTTGGCCTAGGCCTGGGCCTCCTCCTGGACCTGAACCTTGGCATTGATGTCGCTTAGATAGAAACGAGAGGGTTCGGGGTGGGGGAGGACAAGGGGGGGGGGGGGGGAGAGATCCGAGAGATCGAGAAACGCGACGGCGAGAGATGAAGAAGCCATGCATCAACTGGAGACACACGCGGTTTGGGTGGAGACATGGAGACAGAGAAGCACGGAGAATGGTGGACATCGAAAGGCGTGGAGACACGTGGGGAGGAGGAGACAGAGAAGGAGCGGACACGGGGAAGGGAGACACTGGGGAGACATGAGGAACTGCAATCTCTCACCTCCAGGTAGAGGTTTTCCTGGGGAGATAAGGAAAGTTCAACGAGAGTTACTCATCACTCACAGTAACAACATAAGCTGTCACTCTGGTGCATGTGCCAGGCTAGGTGCATCTTGAGACTCACTGATACACCCAACCACTCAATTGACCCACTCACTCACGCAACCACCCACCTACTCATTTAACCATTCACTCACACACTCACCTACTCATCCACCCACGCATTCACTCATGCTCTCATCCACTCACCAACTTACCCATTCATTCGCTCAACCACTCACCCACCCACACACTTAGCCACTCACCTAAATACTCACCCATGCACCTCACTCATCCACTCACACACTCAACAATTGACCCCCTCACACACCCACTCAATCATGATGGTGGTTGTAATGGTGATGATAGTGGTGGTGATAATTGTGGTGGTTGCTTACGCCCCTACTGAAGATGAACATCTGTGGAGGGATGCAGACAAGGCTGACGGGTCAGATGCCTTCTATGACTTCCTGTCCCCTGGCTAAATAGTCATCCTGTGTGGTCACTTAAATGCATGAGTGGGTCTTGATGCAGACACCTGGTCTGGAGTGATTGAAAGGCATGGGCCAGAGCAGCTTAATAACAGTAGGAGGCTGCTAGATTTTTGTGCAGCTTATGGGTTTGTAATCACCAACAAGCTGTTTCGGCAACGGCGCATCCACACACCAACATGGATGCACGCCGAGTCCAAGCATGAACATCTGCTGGACTACATAGTGACGGGACAGCAAATGCGGACCCATGTCTTTTAAACCAGGACCTACCGTGGAGCTGATCTGGTCTCGTCTAGCCAATTAAGATTTCAAGCAGGAATTGTATAACTGCTTGCAACTGGGCTTGACATCGTACTCCCCTATAGGAGGATGTGGAGCTATGTGTGTGTGTGTTCCTGTGTATCAAGGCCGTAATTATAATATATATTCAAATATGTTCAAAATTTCCCCCCCAATAAATTGCTATAAACAATATTAAACATTTTTATATGCTATGTAAATAAAAATAGAAAAAATGCTAAACCTTGGCCACAATATCGGGACTTGTCTTCATATAACAATGCATAGATTTATGTTTTTATGATTGCGGTTATGGTTGTACTTTATAAATCCCTACATACAATGAATCAAGAAAAGGTAAAAATGAAAGAAAAAAACAGAGCAATGTAAAACAATAACACTATTAGACATTGTTGTAACAAAAATAAGTAAAAAGTCCACCTCACGTGTTAGTGAATTTTTTTAAATATTTTAGGCAGGAAATTCGTTTTCAAATTTAGATGTTTTTTTTCTGAGGGGGGGGGGGAGGGGGGACCCCCAGACCCCCTGGAAGATTTGGTCCCCCCAATGTTGACTCCATGGCTACGGCCTTGCTGTGTATGTTTAAATATAGCGTGGTATACTGCAGCATGGAGTGTACTGGAGCGCGTGGGGTGTACTGTAGCTTGGTTACTATAAGTGTGTGTACTGTAGATTGTGTGGTGTTCTGTAATCTGTGGTGCATTGTGGGTTGTATAGCACAGTGTGTAGTGCACTACAGCGTGTAGAGTGCAGTGCAAGGTGGTGTGCGTGCAGGCTGTGTGTGCAAGTCATGTAGCCCCATGCCCAGTCACCGCATGCCTAAACAGCTTTTATACGGCCGGATCGAGGGGGCTGGCTAAACGGGTGCGGCACAAGCTAGAGAAGAGATGGAGTGATGTGGTACAGGAGGACGTGGAGCTGAGTGGACTTGCCGAAGAATGGTCCCAGCGCTGTCAAGATCGGCCTCTGTGCAGGAGTCCCATGTAGGATGCTACTGGGCAGTTGCCACATGGCACCAATAAGTGGTAAGGCAGAATACAATGGAGAGGGTGGGGTCTACTTGTAATATGGAAAGCCGCTGATTGAAAATTAGAAACACCCGCAGCAAAAAAGGTTGTCAATCACCATTAGTGTGACCGGTGTCCTGTAAATAGGGATCGTCTTGCGGTGTACGGTAAGCGCACCGTGTTGTCCAGATATATGCTATGGTGTGAAAGCAAACAGGGGCAGCGTGTCTACAAATTAAGGACAAACGAGTGAAGTTAAATCGCCTCCGCTTTGGTATTCATTACTCTCTCAGAAGACTCGTCCCACACTATACACGGGCATGACTTTGCTGGCCAAAAAATGTCATCGTGGTGGCATTAAGGCGAGCCTTGCTAAGTAGGCTAGAAGCAAAAGCACCACAGCAGATTGAGGCAGTCGCCCTCTAACAATGATGGGAGTGCCGGGCAGTAAACAATGCCACAAGTTGATACAAGCGGTGCATCTGCCATTGATCTTGGTCGGTCAACCCAAGGCACCTGGGTCTGCCAGTAACCAGTCAGCGAGCCTTCAACACTTCACATAGCCTCAGGTGTACCTGGCCTGGCACAGGCGCTGTGGTGACATCACTGCCACTTAATGGCGAATAGCAGCAGTTTTTGTTGGTGATAATGATAGTGGTGGTGACGATGGTGACGATGATGATGATGGTGGTGGTGATAATGCTGGTGACAGTGGTGGCTTTGGTAAGTGGTTACATGAGTGGGTGAGTGAATGAGTGGTAGTGGGTGAATGAGTGGGTGAGTGGATGAATAAATGAGTGTGACATTGTCACTGGTGTTGATAATGATGATGGTACTGATTTACCTTCATCGCCTCCCGCTGAAACTTGATACCAGGCAGTTCATCAGGCATCTGCGATGAACACAGATCATGTTCAATGGCCGTGTGGGTGGGTTGAAGAGTGTATGAGTGAATGAGAGAGTGAGCAAGTTTGGGGGAAAAAAAGACAACCCCCATATCGACTTGGTGGTGCCGGACGGTAACACTGTGGTGGATGTGAGCAATGCCATGGAAGGGAGGCCAATTCCAAAATCGGATAGTCCCCTCATGGCATTTGTAACCACCTCAGTGGCCAAATGGGGTGTGAGGGGCTTGTCACCCCCTCCACCTTCAATTGAATTACCACAAAACCACGGGGGGAAAAATCTAGCTTAGCTTTTGCTGGAGGCCCCGGGGGGCAGGCGTTGATGATATATCCTGGCCAAACCCCATTTGGCAGAGACAGGAGACTAATTCCTTACCCTCGGGGTTCCTCCAAAAACATCAAAAAGCTATTGCGGGTGGCCACGTGGAATGTTTGAATGCTTATTGCGGAGGAGAGTAATAGATATAGGTGTAGGTTTTACCCTTTTAAAAGGGTAAAACCTATTACTATATCTTGTTACTGGCAAAGGAGGTATCATAATGTAAACGAAGCACCTTCCTGGGTATTTTGTGCCATCAAACACTCCACCCCCCAAATCCCAATTGGTGATGTGGGAGCTGTGGACAGAGTGGAGAGTTTTCCATATCTGGGCAGTGTGTTCATAACCAGCTCCGGTTTCACAGCAGAGGTCTCCTTATCACTTTGATCGGCATTATTTTTTCATCAGCTGTGTTGCTTTGTATGAAGCTACTTGGTCTGTCGCTCCACACGAAGCTTTGGGAATTATCAGACATGGTCATGCCCTCCTTTCTCTATTCTTGTCAAACAACTTTCCTGGTTTGAAACATTTAGGCTGGTCTATCTACGAGCCATATTCGGTTTAACCAGGCTGGATTGTGTGAGGAGCTCACAAATCCTTGAAAGAACTGGACAATGTCCCATCGGTGAGCTCCTCCGGCAGGCAAGGCTGTGTTGGCTGGGTCATGTAGCCCACATGCCCAGCCACCGCATGCCTAAACAGCTTTTGTTTGGCTGGATAGAGGGGGCTAAACGGGCGCGGCACGGGCTAGATAAGAGATTTAGTTATGTGGCTCAAGAGGACGTGGAGCTGAGTGGACTTGCTGATGACTGCTACTGACGGTGTCAAGATCGGCCTCTGTGGAGGAGGCTCGTGAAGGACGCTGCTGGGCAGTTGGAGGCAGTCGCCCTCCAGCAACAACGGAGGGCGGAGGAGCGATGCTCACAGAGCTCCGCATGGCTAAAACACAGCAAGTTGGCACAGTAGGGGACAGAAGTGGTGCATTGACCAGTTATCTCAAGCAGTCAACCCACGGCACCTGGGTCTCTCCCATGACCTCTTACAAGCAGGCGTTCAAATTATGATTTAAAGCTTTCGTGACTGCAGGGATTCATATTCTTGGTTCTTTCGGTAAAGTCACCACGTAGAAGGGAAACAATAAAATAATAAAAATATAAAACAATACAATTCTCACAGAATGCTCACAGAATTGTATTGTTTTATATTTTTATTATGTTATTGTTTCCCTTCTACGTGGTGACTTTACCGAAAGAACCAAGAATAAGCAGGCGTTCAATACTTCACGTAGCCTTAGCGTGCACATAGCCTGGCACGAGTGCCATGGTGACGTCACCTCCACTTAGTGACGAATTGCTGATGATGGTGGTGGCGATGATGGTGGTAGTTTCGCCCCCAAGGTCTCCAATCGTTCGCTTTACCGGATAAAACTGCTCCTGCCAAACACCAGCTGTATTCCCGTTCGAAACCTCGGAGGGAACCAGCTTCGTATTCAAACTGTAAATGTAAATGTTGTGGATTCACTCTTCAACACACCGGTGGGCTAAAGTAGTGAACTAATTTGTCTTTTGTCAACGTGACACTTTATTTTGCTGATTGACCGTGTCGGGTGGTGGAGGGTTCGACACATTTATAAATAACGCGATCTAACCCAAACACCTTTATTGTGAATAATATTGGTCGCGAAAGCCTACTACGTGTTAAACTGAGCGTCGAGACAGTTGGCTTAGTCTTTCGCCCCCACAAACCCAGGTAGGACGATCGATCTTCACGTCAGAACCGCCCGTGGGGGGGGGGGGGGTAGTCCATCAGTGTTTTTTCTCGAGCGTCGCCCTGCCCAGGCAGAGTTCACCATTGCTCGAGTCCCAACACGTCCGCCGCTTTTGTTCCACCCCCACGCAGGTAGGGGGTGAGGGATGGCGTCGCAGGTTAGCGTGCAGCTGCGCTAGGAGCCTGGCGACCGGCACAGGGCCACCAACACCCGTGACGATTATTTGAACCGGTCCTGGGCCTCGTCTAGGTCGACTCGGCCTAAAATGAATACCACGTGTGGTGTGTAAACATCGGCTGTGGGGCGACCAAGGTGGCCCGGCCTGGTATTGGGCATCTACAAACTCGTGTGCCAGGCCGGCTTTCATAGATGCTACTCGCTAACAGTGCTTACGGGGGAATCGTTGTCTGTGTCTCTTTGGTGGTTATGGTGATAATAGTGGTGGTGGTGATGCTGATGATGATGGTGGTGGTGAGGGTGGTGGTGATGCTGATGATGATTATGGTGATGGTGGTGATGGTGAGGGTGGTGGTGATGCTGCTGATGATGGTGATGATGGTGGTGATGGTGGTGGTGATGCTGATGATGATGGTGATGGTGGTGAGGGTGGTGATGATGCTGATGATGATGGTGATGGTGGTGATGATGGTGGTGATGGTGATAATAGTGGTGGTGATGATGCTGATGATGGTGATGAGGGTGGTGATGGTGATGATGAGGGTGGTGATGGTGGTGGTGATGATGGTGGTGGTGATGGTGATGATGGTGGTGATGATGGTGATGGTGGTGATGGTGGTGGTGATGCTGGTGGTGGTGATGGTGGTGGTGATGATGGTGATGGTGGTGATGATGGTGATGATGGTGGTGATGATGGTGATGATGGTGATAGTGGTGATGGTGGTGGTGATGCTGGTGGTGGTGATGATGGTGGTGGTGATGATGGTGATGGTGGTGATGATGGTGATGATGGTGGTGATGATGGTGATGATGGTGATAGTGGTGATGGTGATGATGGTGATGATGGTTGTGATGGTGGTGGTGATGGTGGTGGTGATGATGATGCTGGTGGTGGTGATGACGATGATGATGGTGGTGATGATGGTGATGGTGGTGATGCTGGTGATGGTGGTGGTGATGGTGGTGATGCTGGTGGTGGTGATGCTGGTGGTGGTGAATGGTGGTGGTGGTGATGATGGTACTTACAGAGATATCCTTTGCCACTTCACCTGGAATCTGTGAGGAAACAGTGAACAATTATTGGGTCTCTCAGTATGTGTATGATGACCGGGTCAGAGTCTCAGGGTGTCTCTGAATCTTAGTGATGACTCTATGGGTCTATGTGTGAGTATATTGGTCAATGTGTCAGTCAATGCTCCTCTATGCGACCCTTTGAGTCTACGTGTGGGTCTATGCATCGCTGTGTGAGTATATAGGTCTGTGTCGACGAGTCTGTGGGTCTCCATGCCAGTCTGTGGGTCTCTATGTGAGTCTGTGGGTCTCCATGTGTGTATGTGGGTCTCCATGTGAGTCTGTGGGTCTCCATGTGAGTCTGTGGGTCTCCATGCGAATCTGTGGGTCTCTATGTGAGTCTAGTGGTCTCTGTGCGGTGAGTCTCTGGGTCACCGTGCAAGGCTGACCGGCATTCTCTTGCGGTCGACCATAGACTTCGGTGCCCCATCTCCCACACCTCCCTTCTGCTGTGGCTGGAGGAGGAAGGGATGGGGGAGGAGAGGGAAGGGCAGGGTGGGGGAGGGTGAGGGGATTGCCTCTTTAACCTATTTTTATTTCAAGTTTTCAAGTTTTCAAGTTTCATTTATTTAGGTATAGCCCTGTGAGCCATGCGGCTCTTAAGTCGGGTGCAACCGCAACAAACAAAATGTGAACACAGAAACATCTTAAAGCGACAACGCGTAACAGAAACATCCTGGAATAAACCAGGAAATATTCCACACACAATTTTTTTTTTTACCAAGTAAGACCCCACTGGGCTCTGTACCTCTTTTTCAGAAGCAACCTGACCATCACAAACAATAGCTCAACGAAGTGGCCTATCACGTGGATATTTACAGTAGTCAAATACATCTTGAATCAACGTGTAACATTGATTCAAGATGTGGAGGGAGAGAGAGACAGGCATACTGCAAATATATAGCAGGTGTCAGGGTCCGGATCGAGACTAAGAGCTCCTCTTATACACGTCTCTCTCTCTCTGTGTCTCACTCTCCATCTCCCCCACTCCCTCTCTCTCTGTGTCTCACTCTCCATCTCCCCCTCTCTCTCTCTCTCTGTGTCTCACTCTCCATCTCCCCCTCTCTCTCTCTCTGTGTCTCACTCTCCATCTCCCCCTCTCTCTCTCTCTGTGTCTCACTCTCCATCTCCACCTCTCCCTCTCTCTGTGTCTCACTCTCCATCTCCCCCTCTCTCTCTCCCTCTGTGTCTCACTCTCCATCTCTCTCTCTCTCTGTGTCTCACTCTCCATCTCCCCCTCTCTCTCTCTCTGTGTCTCACTCTCCATCTCCCCCTCTCTCTCTCTCTCTGTGTCTCACTCTCCATCTCCCCCTCTCTCTCTCCCTCTGTGTCTCACTCTCCATCTCCCCCTCTCCCTCTCTCTCTGTGTGTCTCACTCTCCATCTCCCCCTCTCTCTCTCTGTCTGCCTCTCCCCCCCTCTCTCTCTCTCTGTGTCTCACTCTCCATCTCCCCCTCTCTCTCTCTCTGTGTCTCACTCTCCATCTCCCCCTCTCTCTCTGTGTCTCACTCTCCATCTCCCTCTCTCTCTCTCTGTGTCTCACTCTCCATGTCCCCCTCTCTCTCTCTGTGTCTCACTCTCCATCTCCCCCTCTCTCTCTCTGTGTCTCACTCTCCTACTCCCCCTCTCTCTCTCTCTGTGTCTCACTCTCCATCTCCCCCTCTCTCTCTCCCTCTGTGTCTCACTCTCCATCTCTCTCTCTCTCTGTGTCTCACTCTCCATCTCCCCCTCTCTCTCTCTCTGTGTCTCACTCTCCATCTCCCCCTCTCTCTCTCTCTCTGTGTCTCACTCTCCATCTCCCCCTCTCTCTCTCCCTCTGTGTCTCACTCTCCATCTCCCCCTCTCCCTCTCTCTCTTTGTGTCTCACTCTCCATCTCCCCCTCTCTCTCTCTGTCTGCCTCTCCCCCCCTCTCTCTCTCTCTGTGTCTCACTCTCCATCTCCCCCTCTCTCTCTCTCTGTGTCTCACTCTCCATCTCCCTCTCTCTCTCTGTCTCACTCTCCATCTCCCCCTCTCTCTCTCTGTGTCTCACTCTCCATCTCCCCCTCTCTCTCTGTGTCTCACTCTCCATCTCCCCCTCTCTCTCTCTGTGTCTCACTCTCCATCTCCCCCTCTCCCTCTCTCTCTCTGTGTCTCACTCTCCATCTCCCCCTCTCTCTCTCTCTCTGTGTCTCACTCTCCATCTCCCCCTCTCTCTCTCTGTGTGTCACTCTCCATCTCCCTCTCTCTCTCTCTGTCTCACTCTCCATCTCCCCCTCTCTCTCCGTCTCAATCTCCATCTCCCCCTCTCTCTCTGTCTCACTCTCCATCTCCCCCTCTCTCTCTCTGTGTCTCACTCTCCATCACCCCCTCTGTCTCACTCTCTATCTCCCCCTCTCCCTCTCTCTGCGTCTCACTCTCCATCTCTCTCTCTCTTTTTCGCACATTTTATTTACGCTTCAACATTGACAAGCTTCGTTGACCATCAAACGCGATTCAACTCGCACATTCCCATTATGACGATGAAACTGTCAGCGAATCGGCATACAAAGCCATCCACGTCCAAATAACAGTACATTGCCATTATTTGTATCGGTGGCAGTCGGTGGGACAAACCCGCTGTTGCCGTTTGTCGCTGCCATCCGACAGATCACGTTGACGCACACAATGGAAAAACAAACAAACGCGATCAACCTTTCTCTCCCGCTCCGACCCGAACTGAGCACGCCGCAACGTTAGCCCTCCCCCCACCTCTCCCTCCTTCCCTGTTTGACTTTCTAAGCAAACTTTATAACCTCGGCCGCAAACAATGCGCCGGGGCGACTTCAGTGTTGGGTTGTGCGTGAAACACCAGACAAAGACAAACAACAGGGCCGCGCTCGAGATCGCGCGCGTGACCGACGTACCAATGGGGCGCAGCCAGCGTCACCAATAAACTCACAACAACAACACCAAGAAGACAGAAGACAGTTCTGGGTCCAACAACGCATCGCATGGTGCGAAGAATCGCCGGCGTGGGTGACCAAGTTGGGCTTCTCGGTGGGGAGCACCGGACTTGAACCCTCGAGTAACCAATCAGTAGTTTGCCCTGCGCACCGTTTAAATGTCAACGTTACAACCGGCAGTGCGGTGCGTTAGCACGATGCGGCCGAATGCCCTCGCGCGAAAGCATTTACATCTCACGAAAAAGTTTGCTCAAGCTGCGACGTTTCCGCCTGGCTCCGACGTACCAGCGAGCCGAGTGGTATTTATCGTGAAAAAAGAGAGGCTTCGAGTCTTGCCGTTCTTGCCCCTGGCAGCCATCGCTCCAGATGTTGGTTGGTTCGGCGGCCACCGGGGGGTTGGGGGGGGGGGCGTTCAAGAAGACCGTCCCCGCCTCCTCTTCACCTTTAATGCCAAATGTTTCAGTCTGTCGAACTCAGACAGGGTGCAGCCGTACTCTCGCCATTCACGGTAGAGTGTTCGAGCAGTTGCTATAAAGCCCAACGAGTCGGGGAAGGAGGCCGCGGGGTCAACCCCCGGGTCATACTCCACGACCCCATTGTTCCCTTCGATGTCGTCCTCGTCGTGGTCGTCGTCGGCGGTGGAGGAGGATTCGCATGTCAACGTCGACTCCGGTCCCGAGCACGATAGTTCTGTCTTCGAGGTCTTCGCGCACGCCCAGCAGGCAGGGGCCCGGCGGCCGTTCTGTCCGTCGACCCACCCGGAGCCGGGATCTCCCCCGGCTCCGGGTGGGGGAGATCCCGGTTCCCGACGCGTCCCGCCGCCGCCGCGGGGTCGCTCCTGGCCCTCCGCTTCCTCCGCCGCGGAGGGACGGACGGGCGGACGAAAACGTCTCCCTCGTCCTCGGTCGTCCGCTCCTCGCAGTCAGCTGCCGGGACGGCGAGGCTTCCCTGCTGCCCCCGCCGCTGCTGCTGCTGCTGTTGTAGTTGTTGTTGGTGCTGTTGCTGCTGCTGTAGTTGTTGTTGTTTTTGTTAGTGCTGTTGCTGCGGCTGCTGCTGCCGCAGCTGCTGCTGCTGCTTCTGCTGCTGCTGTTGTTTTTGCTGCCGCTGCTGCGGCTGCTGTTGCTGCTGCGGCTGTTGTTGTTGCTGCGGCTGCTGCTGCTGTTGCTGTTCTCGCTGCGGCTGCTGCTGCTGCTGTTCCTGCGCCTGCTCTGCTGCGGGCGGAGCAGCAGACCCGCTCACCCTGTTCGGGTAGTTCCTCCGGGCGTGGCCGTTGCCTCCACACCCGTAACACCACATCCCAGCTGTGGATGCATGCACCGTGTACACGTGGCCCTCGACCGTGCATTTAAAAGCAGCATCTAGGTCCGCGTTGCCGTCCTTCAGGACCATAAACACCTGACGCTGGAACGTCAATACGTGTGCCAACCCGGGGTCCCTCGTTCGTAGAGGCAGCAGCGTGACCTTCGAATACCGCCGTCCCAAAAACGACGAAGGTCCCGCAGGAGGTCGGCGCCTCTCGCCCGAGGGCGCCACCCGGACGGCGGGCGCGGCGAGCGGGGCGCACCGCGGGTGAAGCTCGCCCACGGCGAGGCCCCCGTCTCCGCCACGCTCGCCGCCATCGCCCCGTCTCCGCCACGTGCACCGTGACGCCTCCGCTCTGCCGCCGGGCCGCGACGACGCCGGCGTAGCCGACGTTTGTCGCGGCCACCCACGGCGGCGACGGCGGCGGTCTCCGACGGCGGAAAAACGGCGAACCCGTTCCTCCCCGTGAGGCTCTCCAGCGCGGCGCGTTGCCCCATGATGACGGTCGGCAGCAGCCACACCTGCGCGCGTGTTCGTTGTTGTAGCTGCTGCTGCTGCTGTTTCTGTCGTCTTCTGTACAGCCCATGAGCCGCTCGAAATTGATTTTTCCGCACGGCTCATTGAGCAAAAATAAAAAAATAAAAAAATCAGAAACGGAATGAAGCATACCAATTGAACGGAAAAAACGGTGTTTAAATTCCCCATTGTATCCTCTCTCGGGCTTTGCCTAACTGATGGAATGTCAGGCCCCCCATTGTTCCAGGTGGGAGCTCGGGAGCTTCACCTGCAAGCAGTCTCTCTCTCCTCTGTGTCTCACTCTCCATCTCCCCCTCTCCTTCTCTCTCTCTCACACTCTGTCTCTCCCTCTCTCCATCCATTTATCTCTCTGTATCTTCATCTCTCTCTCTCTCGCTCGACAACGTCGGAAGGCTACGCCTACACCGTGTATGTGTCATCTGCGTTGCCGCGCTGCTACGTGTGCGGTGGCTTCGGCCATGCCCGTGCAAATTGCACGCGCAAACCAAAAGGAAAAAAACGCGCAGCAGCAACAGCTGCAACAGCAGCAACAGCTGCAACAGCAGCAACAGCTGCAACAGCAGCAACAGCTGCAACAGCAGCAGCAGCTGCAACAGCGGCAGCAGCAGCAGCTGCAACAGCGGCAGCAGCAGCTGCAACAGCTGCAACAGCAGCAGCAGCAGCTGCAACAGAAGCAGCAGCAGCTGCAACAGCGGCAGCAGCGCTGCTAGCAGCAGCTTCCACCACAGCCTCAGCAGCGCTGGCAGAAGCAGCAGCAGCAGCCACAGCAGACGCAGTAGCAGCAGTTGCAACAGCAAGCGCAGCAGCTGCAACAGCATGGGCATCCGCAGCAGCAGCAGCTGCAACAGCATGCGCAGCAGCCGCAGCAGCAGCACTGCACGAGTGCCAGCTGCTGCAGCAGCTGCAACAGCAAGCGCAGCAGCAGCAGCCACAGCAGACACAGCAGCAGCTGCAGAAGCTGCAACAGCACACACAGCAGCAGCAGCAGACACAGCAGCAGCTGCAGCAGCTGCAACAGCATGCGCAGCAGCAGCCAGCACTGCACGATTGCCAGCTGCTGCAGCAGCAGGATGCTGTTTTTTCCTGGATTTTCTGTTTGCACATAGTCACGTAGTCACATGATTAGACCTCCTTTGCCAGTACCAAAATGTAATAATAGGGGTTTTTCCTATTTTTCGAGCACCAATTGGGTCGAGGCTCAAAAGAACGCCGTCCCTTGGTGTGGACCAATCCGTTTCAAGGACAATGCATCATATTATATTATCATAGTCTGTTTTTTGTTTGCATTTTGACAGCAGGTATTGTGGTTAATGCAGTAACATGAATCCTTGTAAAAAAAAGTTTAAGTTTTGTTGCCAGAAAAAAGGTGGAAAAACCCTATTGTCACATAGCCACTTTAAGATGTTTCATTGTTCATGTTCTTGTCTTTTGTTTGTTGCCGTTGCACCCGATTTAAGATCCGAATGGCTCACAGTCCTATACCAAATAAATGAAACTGAAACCGACTCGCACATAGCCGTCCACCGATGACGAGGATGGCGAGGGCTTCACCCTCGTCACCTCGCGCCAGCGCAGGGTGAAGCCCGGCCACGCCGGAGGAGGCCAAGCGGCCCCTAACCCCAAGCGCGCGGCCACCGCCGATCACGAGCCCTGCCCAAAAGTCGCAGTGCAGGACGAGCAACGCCCCCCCCTCCCCCCCTCCACCTCCTCGAGCGCCATCCCAGGCGGCGTTGCAAGGGGTGAATATGAAGACACGCTCGATGGCGACCCGCCTGAGGACACCACGGTGGGACGAGTGCCGCCAACATCCCGTACCACCACCGCCGCACGCCGCCTCGGCATCCTCGGGGCGAGAGGAACCACCAGCAGGTGCGATGAAGGCCGGCTCGCCTCACCCGAGGGGAGAGCAACAGAACCTCCACTTCCAGAGGGCAGCCACCCTCTTCCCGATGAGGCCCTGGCATCACCGACGGCAGACGAGGTTTCTGCCGGGTCACGGTTTGACGAGCTGGAGGACTCTGACGACGAGGTGTCGGAGACCGAAGGAGAGGGCGACGTGAGTGAGCTCAGCTACTCGCAAGTCAACGGCGAGTGCGATTACTCACCTGGGGACGTCCACAGCTTCCTCGGGGAAAACTTTCAGGAAGCGTCAAGTCAGGATCGGGGCCGATTTCCCTGATACCTCAACGCTTTCCTGAAAGCGTCCCAACAAATTTTCCGCAACAGCGGCAGGTTTGGTTTCTCGACTCAGGAATGCTACCGCCTGAAAAGCGTTCACGCGCAAGGCGAGGAAGGAGCTTACTTCTGCCCAGAAGTAACCCAGCCAACCGCAACTACTGTTAACACTACCACCACCACCATGCAACTACTTGATGGCTTCAGCTATTAAGGTCGCCAGTCTGAACTGTAACAGCGCTCGTAGTGACAAGAGGTGGGACCAGATCTGCCGCTTTGTCAAGGAACACAAAGCAGATGTGACTCTCCTACCACAAAACTCACCTCGACGCCACTCTGGAAGTCCAACGCCAGCCTTTCCTAGGCGGCCGAGGCCTTCTTCAGCCACGCCGAGGACAACCATGCCGGCGTGGCGATTGTGCTCGGTTCGCGGTTTGCACCAGAGAACGTCTCCTTCAAAGAAATCGTCAAAGGTCACTTGATTTCTGTCGAATTCGTCCTGAATTAATCCTGCCTCGGGTGCTATAACGTGTACGCGCCGAGCGGGTCCCCTCCCCCCCCCCCCCGCCGAGAGGAAGCTCTTCTTCGGCGCGCTGCGGGACGTGCTCGCGACAGACGACACGGACGACGTTGCTCACCGTCGTGGGGGGGGGGGGGGGGGGGGAGACTTCAAATGCAACCCTCGACCCGGCTCTCGACCGCAAACACTTCCCAAACCTCACCCTGAGTCCGCACGGCCGCTCGCCGAGCTCGTGCGGAGGCTGGATCTGCGTGACGTGCGGCGACCGCAGCATCCGGCCCAGCGGCAGTACTCCTGGTGCCGCTGCGGCTCTCAAGGCGGGATGAGCCTTGCCGGGCTCGACCGACCGTACGTCAACGTCAGCGGTGTTAACCTGCTGCGAATTCCCAGAGCGGAGCAGCGCAGCGCCTGCTGGAGACTCAATGCGCAGCTGCTTGACGACACCGACTTCAGAGAAACCTTCAAAGCCTTCTGGGCTCAGTGGCTGCCTGCCAAAGGAAGCTTCAGCTCCCACCGGCCGTGGTGGGACAACGCAAAGGCGCAGGTTCAGGGGTTCTCCGTCAGCAGTTCATGAGCCAGCACGCCGCCGCCGCCAAGAACGAGGTGGCGCACCAACTGCACGACGAGCTTCTGGCACTAGAGGCGGAGCCGAGCTCATCCCACGGCACACAGCAGGGTGAGACGCTGCTGGAGAAAGCAGCGGCTTTTCAGGTCCATCACGGACGAGCAGGCACATCGCGCATTTGTGTGCAAAAAGATGCAACACCTGTCGCAAGATGGACACTCTCCCTCTAAGTTCTTCTTTCCGGTTAAACAAAGCACCGGCCAACACCACGAAAATTTCCAGTTTGCGAACTCCGGATGGACAAACAGCAACATCTGAGAGCGAGATCGCCAAGAACGCCGGGGATTTCTACTCGCAACTTTTCGCCGCCGAAACCGTACACGACGAGGCTGTCCGGGAGCTACTGGACAGGGGCCCTACCTTAGGAGTCCCCGAGCGGGATCGTCTGGACAGCCCCCGTCACCCCGCAGGAGCTCCACACCGCTGTGAAAGGGCTCGCAGCCTGGTAAAGCCCCGGGGTTATTATGGCCTGCCGGTTGAGTTTTATGCGGCCCCGTGGGATTAGCTTGGCCCTCCACTACTGAAATTGTTGACGGAGAGGCCTGCAGAAGGGTGAACTCCCACAGAGCTGCAGGAGAGCAGTGGTCTCCATGATACCCAAGAAGGGGGAACTGCGCCTCCTCGTGAACTGGCGACCCGCGCGGATTACAAAATCTTCTCCAAGGTGCTGGCAAATCGTCTCAAGACAGTGCTGGGTCAGCTGATCCTGCCGGAACAGTCGTATTGCATCCCCGGATGGTGCATATACGACAACATTGGTACGGTCACAGGCGTAATCTCCCTTGCTGTACGACCGGGCGGAGCTACCCTGGAAGTCGCCGGCCCTCGCCCTGCTGAGGAATGCAGGGTGGTGCCTGGCGTACGGAAAGGAGCTCTTCCTGATGGACCTGAG